GTACAGAGAAAAATAAAAAGAAAAGGATGTAAACAAGGAATGAAATAATGTTGATCCTTAACTAAGGTTTCAGGACTGTGGGAACCCAGGCAGCTCTTGGGAGCTTGGTGGATTATATAGATAACATGTGCTTAGAAAATTTAAAATAGACATGTATGAAGAAGAGAATAAGCAAAATCAGTTATCCTACTATGTAAAATAACTATTGTTAGCATTTTAATCAATTACCCTCTCACTTTTTTCTATTATTTGTTTCAAACATTTTATATGGCCATGTATACAAAGTCTTTTCTAATAATATTTTGTTCTTAATATGGCACCATGAACATATATCATGCCACTAAATATTATTTGAAAGTGAATTTCTAGGTATATTGTTTCTTTGTATGCATTTAACAAACATATTTAGCCATTTTCCTATTGATACGTACTTATTGTGCTCAAATTTTCACAAGCTAAAATAACCTTAAGATTGATGTCTTTGCATTTTTTAACTTTACTTTTCAAGTTTTGTTTGCAAGTAAGAGAAACCAACTTGCACTAGCCTAAGGCAAAAAAGGGAAAGAAAGTGGTGACTTTATTGAAAGTTTGAAGGGTATCTAACATTCACAAAATTAGAGTTAACATAATAGCTATCATTTTTTAGCTTGTCAAATTGAAACTGCTACTTTTAAAAAATTATAATATTCAATGTTGGCAAGAGTGTGATGAAAGAGACAACCTCAGTCAGTCTTGAGGTGGGGAAGAGATGATAAAAGAACAAATTTTCTGAAGAGAAAATGGCAATATTTTCAAGAGCCTTCAAAAATAATATTCCTGGACCAAGTAATTTTATGCACTTATGTAAAGAAGTTTTATGCTTTTCATATACTTGACATCCTAGTCAATATAATTTAATCTACTGACCATTAAAAAGAAAATCAGGCAATATATTTTCTCTTTGATAACTTAAAATTAAAATCTTTTACATAACAAATTTACAAATTTTTAATTTTTTAAAGAGTTTTATTTTTTGAGCTGCAGGTAACTACAGGGCAGGGCCAGGGAGCAAGAAAGCCCAGATTCCTGTTACATGACTTTTGACAAGTCACTTAAAAATTAATATCATACTTTTTACCTGCAAGATAAATATATCTGCCTTATTTACTTTCTTAAGTTGTTGAAGGTGTCAGATAAGATAGTTCATGGAATGGTTTTGGAATTAATGATCTCTTGTAAAATTTAAAATTAAAACATTTTTATAAAAATTAAAATGTTTCATTGGGTAGGAAATTACGTAGCTTTATTGATTTTGAGGGAAGTTTTAACGATATATTTTAGGATAGTAAATACTACTTTTATTGTGAAATGACAGAAAAAAATGTCATGTGAGGACTAACGAGAAAAGAGTTCAGGGAGTTAACCAAAAGTGACAATAAAAATATGGTTCTTAGTTACTCTGCTCATCAGAAACTGTGATGAAAAGTCAATAAGTGTAGAAGAAAACAAAAATGTTGGAGGAATTTCTCTTCATATACCAGAAGACGTTTTGTGTCCTGTGTATATTTTCAGAGCATTTTGTTTTACTTCAAGTAGAATCTCTAATGACTTATAAAGCTTTACTTTGCTTAAGAATAAATTAAGAGAAAATACTTTTTTAGTATTTTTAAATATTTTAATGAAGGAAAAATATGTATGTTATTTACCTATTCTGTTAACTGTAGCATGTTTTAATTTTAAGCAATCTTTCCTCTCCTACCCTATTTCCATCAATTGCATTTTTAAATTGTAAATTAATTGGATACTTTTTATCCACTTAATCCTCATCCTCATCCTCTTTACTGTTTTGCAACATTGGGCATCTTGATAATTATCTGCTTGAACTTTTCTCCTTCTTTGGATTCTGTTTCCTCCTGAGATTCCTTTTGTTCCATGCTGGCTATTTTTTACACAGGTCTTCAAAATCAAGGTGCCACTTGATCGTGTCATCATCCTTCTGCATATTTGCCCTGGTTGATCTCATATACTGTCATTGATTACTTTCACATAAGATGACCCAGAAATATATACCCTCCCATATTCTTCTAGTTCTACATTTCTCCCTGCCTTCGTTATATATCTCTCTGTGTATTCTGAGAGAAACTGTATCTCTTAAACTCAACGTGCCTCAAATGGAACTCTTTACCAATTTAGTACCCTTTCCCAGCTTTCTCTTTTTCCTCTTGTTGATAATGGTACCACACAACCATCCATATTCAAAAGCTTGGCATTATCTCTGATTCTTTTCAACTGCTCATACCACACCCCACCAGACCCTAACACTATTCACCTCTTAAAATGTCTCAAAACCCATCTCCAACTGCAGGTCACTGTATTGATTTGGGACCCAGTCCTCTCTCATCTCATAGAAACAAAGAACTTCTTAAGTGATTTTTGAGATTTGGTATTTTGTCTCTTTTATAGTCTCCATCCACACTGTCATGAGAGTTATTTTTCTGAAACATGGTGTTAATTCTGTAATTTTCTTACTTTAAAAACTTGCACTGGTTTTTACCCCGATGGACTATTAGATCCTACATAAGGCTCCTCATACAGGTGTCCCTTTCCACCTTTATCTACTTTCATTCTCCCCATATATATGTATGTATAGCAACAATCTATATGTAGAGCAACACTCTTCTACTCCTTCCCTAAACTTGCCTGGTGCCTTATACAGTCTTCCTCTGCCTGTGATCTATCTATGCCTATTCTCTACCTACACAATGCAGACCTACTCATCAAGGCCTAGTGCAAGTATCATTTTCTTGGTGATTTTCCTGAACAGTCAGGTCCTTTCTCAATTCTGTATATAACAGTTTTAAAATGATATTAGTACAACTGTTATCCTGTTGATTCTCCATAATTTGTTCATATGTCTTTTTTTTTAATTTTTTTTTATTTTGGCATATTATGGGGGTACAGATTTTAAGGTTTCAATAAATGCCCATTTCCCCCCCTCCCCCCAAAAGTCTTAGTCTCCATCATGACCATCCCCCAGATGGTGCACATCTCACTCATTATGTATGTATATACCCTCCCCCCTCCCCCCTCCCACCTGCCCAATACCCTATTACTGTAGTACCTATGTGTCCACTTAGGTGCTACTCAGTTAATACCAGTTTGCTGGGGAATATATCTGGTGCTTGTTTTTCCATTCTTGGGATACTTCACTTAGTAGTATGGGTTCCAGCTCTAACCAGGAAAATATAAGATGTGCTATATCACCGTTGTTTCTTAGAGCTGAATCATATGTCTTTTTCTTGTTCCTCTAGCACATTAGATTTTTGAAAAAATCAGAACACTATCTTTTTTCCATGTTCTTTTTCCATCTCCCCTCTCTCTTCTTCTACTATTGCTTATTAATGTGTGTTCAGTAAATTCTGGTTTAATGTGAATAAATGAGGAAAGAGAAAAAAAAGGTATTATAAATTGCAAAAAGGCTGCCCAATTTGTGGGTAAATATATTTGCAATATAATCTATAATTATTCCTTGCAAAGAAAATATCTATGAATTTTGCCCAATTTCTTTCCTTTCCTGTTCTTATTTGATAGAATTTTATTTCTTTTTTCAGTGTGTGGAAATTTTTATCAAAATTATAACATTAAAAGAAAAAAATAAATGTATCAATACATTGAGATTATTATATATTTGGGTATAGTTTTCAATCAATTCAAATAATTTAGGCAATTCAATTATTTCAATACCCAGAATTAAATACCCAGTGAAAAAGATTTCATTATACTGATGAAAATCATTCAAATGTAAACTAGGGGAGGCATTGTTTTAAATGATTCAGGATGTATTCTATTTATTTGCAAAAGATTTTTCTTTTGCTTCACATTTTTAATCAAATATATGATTCATGATTTTTGTTGAAAGAGAAAAAAATTCTCCTGTATAGTCTACAATGAACTCCTGGGTATACTCTAGTCTTGATGACATGCTAATTGTATTCTAAAAATGTATCCAGAATTAAGAACTTTGCTTCTAAAGATCAAACAACATCTTTAAGAGTGGTTTGTTATTTTTTTTTTTTACAGTATTGTTTAAAATCATCCTTTTATATTTCTGAATTAGCCCATATTATTCTTGCTGACTTTTTGTCAGCAAGATTTTTCCTGGTAGTTTTAATTTGCACTATTCAGCACACACCACCTTCATGACCTTTGCTCTCCCACTCTAGCATAAAAGTTCAACAAATGCAAAATCTAAGATTAGACAGGCGGCTGGTAGATAATTATTTGCAGTTATAAAAGTTTCTTAATTACAAACCTACTTTTAGGCACTCACAGTGTTGAATAATGAGAATTTGACACCAAATGAACTAAGTTCAAGAATCAAGTCTGCCACAAATTAGTGTTGTTTTAATCTTTCTAAACCTTAACTTCTTCATCTACCAAATAGACATTTCACAGAGTTTAATTAAATATGATGGTGCCTTCAATGGTGAAGCACTACATAATTTGGCTTATTTTTATTTTTATTGTTTCCATTATAATAGTAATAGGAAGTCGCAGATTGTCATTCCTAATAAAATCATTGTGTATGTTTATTGTTCTCTTAATAAATAACTTTTTTTAAAAAAAGGAATATGGAATAAATGGACTTAAAGACATGAAGTCCAAATCTTATAGCAAGTTCCATTGAAAAGTGAATCAACAGGAAAAACAACAAAAAATGAGCTTCTGTAGCATTTCATATATTTCAACACATATTTAACAAACATTTATTGAAGACATATCTGTGTGTGTAAAATATTCTGAACTGAGTGCTTTAAAGAACATAAGGTTTACTGGAACAGTAAACCTGTTCTTATCGTCTGGAAATGTGCAATTTGATAAATAGTTCATCATTCTTTGATTGCTTGAATCATGAATTCAACAGTTACCTTTTCTGAACCATTATTTATCTATCATGCAATTGACTGAGACTCAAGTTCAAATGACCACAGTCTAAAAATGTGCTTTTCACTATAGTAAGGCAATTATAAAATAATAACCATAGAGCTTCAAGTAGTAAGATAAAATGCAATTGGTACCTCTCTGGTAAATATATAATAGACAAGTTCTTTGAGGCACTTAGCAACATCTCTTTTACATTTTTTTCAAAATGTAAGGCAAAAAGAATTATGTACATGTTTTAGAAACATGTTTCTGTTGGGATTTGAGGCTAATAAAACCCACACTTTATCTTTGCACAATTGTAAAACAGTTGAATTGTAAGGCATAAAAGTCATATAGATGAAAATCAGCATGCTAGCTTTATTTTTCAAAAGTTGGCAAAATGTGGTTTAAATCTGCAGTCAATTAGATTTCCTAACTAAAGTATCCGCCCAAAATTGGAGGCCTCTCTTCCATTTGCAAATCCTCCAGGGGTAAATCCTGTCACTGTAAACCTACCACAATGGAAAAGTAGACACTGGAGCATCCTGAGGACAGTTCTCAGAAGGGGAGAAACCTAGAAGGAATGGGATCAGGTTAGCTTTGGTCCTTCTAAATTTGCTAGTTAATGGAGTCATTCCTTCCTTCAAAATGAAAGAAAATGTCTCTATCTTCCAAAAAAAAAAAAACTGGAGGGGGAGGAGAGAAATAATCCCTCTTAATATTACCTCAAAGGATATCTGTTCATACTACTCATGCTCTTGAGGGTAATGCATTAGGGATTTTGTTTGAGAAAGGTGGATGTATTTTAACAACCCTTATCTTTTCTTTTGGGATTTAGAGTGCTGCCACATGACCTATGTTGATGGGTTTGGCTCCATTAATAGGACACTTGGTTGAAGACATGCATAATCGTTCCTCTACTAACCTGAGTCCTATTACTCTTTAGAGTTCAGCGCCTAACACAGCATCTGGTACTCAGCTATGTTTGTTGAATGAATGAATGACATGGCATGAATAAATGAGGAGGCATGGTTTTAACACTGATTTTGTTACTAACCTAAGTCTTTTGATATTATATCACACTTCTTGCAGACAAGAATGCCAGAGTTTTTTCTGCACATTTGAGAAAACAAAACAGAGAATTCAGACAGATATTTATCAACTGAGTACTAGCCTTCAAGATTTATTACAATATAATTAGAAACAGTACTTAACCAGCTATGATTGTTAGTCGATAAGAATTGAAATTTTGTTTTCCTATTTTTACTGAATTCATTATGATTTAGCAATTGATACTTTAGAAGTTCCCTAATGTCTTCTAAAATAAATATTATTTAGACTTTATTGAACAATGACTTTCTTCACTGGGAGATAAATACATTTAAATCAATAATTATAAAATTTAAAAAATTTTTCTGATTTCCACTGTAGAAATAACTTGTTGGTTACCTGCAGAGACCCATGGAAACTTGTTTTCATTACTTTGGCTGTTTTAGACAAGAACTGTGTAGAATCTAAGATTTTTACCTTACCTTACAAGCTGCCAAGTTAGCCTGCCACAGTTCTTAGGATGCTAGAAGACCCAGGATTCCTAGGTTAGAGACAAAGGACTTTATAACTCATGGCCAGCAAGTAGCATAAACCTATTTGTATCAGTTCTTCTTGCTCCCAAGTCTCCCACAGGGCTGAGGCAAATGTTTGCATAAGAAATGGGTTGTGTTACAGAGGAAGAATCCTGAGCTCTGGGAACCTGGATTTTTATAATGGGCAGTACACACACTTGTCCTTTGCTCTGGAGGAGATGTTACCTCTATGCTCTAAAGCTATCAGCACACGTATGCTTTACTCCAGAGGGAGATATTATGTCTGTCTTTCAAGGATGTTTGCTGCACTAGCATGGATGAGAAGGTAATCTGGAACAAATGGCTGTCAATGCCTCTCTAAGATGCAGAGAAATGTGAGAGACTCCGAGAATTGTCTCCTAATTTTTTTGTTGTTGCTGTTGATTTAAGGCAGAGTACAAAAGTTTAGTGCCTCTAATATTTATTGAGAACCTAGTCCATAAAACTTAGTGTTGGACTGTTAGACACTGTATGACACACAGTGATGAGAAAGCCATGACTTATGTCCTCAAGGAGTTAAGGCATGTATACACACATATATACTATAAAGCACATTAAATGTCACATAACACTTTGGAATTTGAGTTTGATATCAGAGATGCTAGAATCGCTATAGCACAGTAATTGAGAGAAGGGGATGAAGTGTTTTGAGTTTAAATCCCAGCCTTACTGATTACCACTTTGCATGGAGTACTTGCACTCCCTGTTTTTTAGTTTCCTCATTGTTGAAATTTATATGAGTACCTACCTCATAGGGCAATTGGGACGATTAAATGACTTACTATGGGAAAGAGCCTAGAACAGTTTCTAATACCTATCTGTTCAATAAAAGTTAGTTTTATGAAATCATTGTGACCTTAAGAATAGTTGCTTAACTTCCGCTCTGAGTCACATCTTCCTCACTTAGAAAATGGGAGTAATGTCTTATTGATTGACTGTGAGTTATAAGTTAAAAATGTATTGAATATACTTAGTAAAGACTTAAAAACTGTTATCTACTATTATTAATAGAGGAGCATATACTATATTTAATTCAAGGGATAGGTTGAGTTTTTCTTTCTACCTTTTTAAATGTCTTTTACTGAGTCACAGCTGGTGAATAATGTAAGGGTGGGGGCAACACTATCCTAGAACTTGAGACCTGGTTCTATTCTTGATTTTGTTATTAATTCATTTATTCAAAACAAATGAATCGACAAAAGACAAATGTAACAGAGTCTCTTGCCTTTAAAAATCTCACAGTAGTCAATAAGCCATTTACATTCTTCTACATAGTCCAGAGGAAACAGATGTAATCAGGAAGTGGTTTTTGACCTGAGTAGTGGAAGAGGAGTTGGAAGTTGGGACAATGCAAATAAAGGCACAGAGACAAGAAAGAAAGAAAGAAAGAAGTGGTATGTCTTGGGAGAACACTGACAAATTCAGTTTAGCCACCTTAGAATCTGAAGAGACAGGTTGGGTTGATCAGTGGAAGACAGACAAGAAAGGATTTAAATGCCAATTTCAGGGTTTAACCTTAATTCCTTAGGCCCTGTGAAGTTATTAATGAGGCTGCTGTAGCTGCTGAGCAAAGCTGGGGCAAGAGTAGAGCATTTAGTGAAAAATCATATTCTTGGCTTGTTAAACCTGGAGACACAACAGACCCAGCCTTTTTGTGTCATACTAACAAGTGTGAAGAAGTCCTCTGAACTTAATAAATAGTAGATGGAGCCATCCATCCATCACTCTAAGTCTGCAGTCCCCAGCCCCCTGGGTCATAGATGGCCACCGGTGAGTGGCCCGTTAGAAACTGAGCTGCCATCACCACCTTCCCTGCCTTCCCCGACATAAGTGGAAAAATTGTCTTCTATGAAACTTGGGGATGGGTGGCCCACAGCTTCATCTGTATTTACAGCCCTCTCCCGTGAAACTGGTGTGTGGTGCCAAAAAGGTTGAGGACCACTGCCTAAGTTACTTAATTAATCATTCTTAATTACTGTGAAGGATAAAAGTACCTGAATAAGGCCCTAAAATATAAACGCTAACCACTGACTTAAAGAAAAGACAAGTATTTGGGGTTAAACTCATACTCTAGCTTGGTGGTAAGCATAGAGTGTGACCAAGGGTTTGAAGGGAATTGCCTTGATGTTTATGGGAATGTTTTATCCCTCAGGCCATGAGGACCTGCAGTGATTCTGTTTAGCCATTTAATGTAAAAAATACTGCTCTGTGGGAGTTTATTTCTTAACACATGAGACATTTGTTCAAATGTTTACATGGCTTTACAGTATTTAGCAGAGGTAGGTATTGAATTGCCAACTGCGTGCATTTTATTGTAGTGCTGTTACATCAGTCCCCAAACTCTAGCAAAAAATATTCTCATTAACTGCTATTACCTTCATCAAACATATAACCTCTTGGCAGGGCTCTAGCTCCCTAGGCAAGCCCATCATCAGCCCCCACACTTCAAGCAAGTGCATAAGCACCAGCTGTCAACGGTGCTTTCAATCCAGCTGTCAAACCAGGTGTGGTAAGCGCTGCACTGTGCTCTGATGTTAATGATGGATTAATTAAGGCGGTGTGTGTATTCATGCAGCAGAATCTGGAAAGCAGTTTGTATACTGCTTTTGGCTGGGGTTCCACTGTAGTCCTCAGTGTATTCCTTGGGGGCCCCCTCTCAACTTGCCAACAGGTCTGTATACTCTGGTTCAAAAGCAAACAATGAGCTTATCTGAACTAAAAACAAAGAGCCCCATGACTAATTCACCAAAGCTTGTGATCTTGACAGAGAAAGCACAGCATTTGTTTGACAGATCCATGAAAAGAGGTGGAGGTGTTCTTTTCTCCTTACTTTTGCAGAGTAGACTAATCTGTGGATACATTGCGTATGCTTCATAAACCAGTGGAATGTTATGTTATTCATGGCTCATAAGATAATAGGACTTTTCTATATTTGAATGTTTCCTAAAATATAGATATATTTTTTTGTATTTTAGCAGGATAACTCTTGGCAATATTATTGACCTTTTGAATTATTCCACTGTCCATATTAGTCACCTTTTTTATCATTGGTTATGCTCCTTCTTGCAAGGCAATCAGCATGTCTTTTGGCTACAGAATTTTAAGCCTGTCTTACTCATATGTACTGTCCTGTTGATGTATTTCTTAGAACTTGGGGATCTAATATTCAAATGCTTTGATTTCAGTGTATATTCCATTGTATTTTGGTTGCAAAGTGTAGGCTTTCATTTTTTTTTTTTTGATGGAATAATATCAATGTTAGCAATAACAATAATAATAACTACAATTCATTAAGCACCTATTATATACTGAACACTGAGTGGAATATGTATTAAATACATACAAGCAAGTTAGCATTGATGAACATATTTTTTCACCCATTTCACAGAAGTTAAAAGTTTAGAGATATAAAATAATCTCCCCAGAGTTGTATAGCTCATAATGAAGAATGGAATATATTTGGAAGATATGGATGTTAGAGAATCATTAGGGATTTATCAGGGAGAAAAAAAGAGAAGTCATCAGGAAGCAAACCTAGGTTGTGATCGACACAGAGGCTTACAGGCACAATGCCTGTTAGGCCATAGTGAGAACCTGGTGCTCCTGCTGTACCCATATCTCGAGTAGAGGACCAGGTTGGGGTAGGGCAGAGGAATGTTATGGTAAAGAGTTTGAGCTTGACTTTATTCTCTTTACAAAGAAGAACTGGTGAAAAGACATGATCAATTTAGTTTTTGGAAGATAATGGCCATAAGAGGGATGTATTGAGGTGAGAGTGCCAATGAAATCTACTCCATACCAGTTGCAGAAGGTAAACCACAAAATCTGCTCATTGCACTGCAGTCTGTTCTAGAAATCTGCTAGACTAGGACATTGTCAGATAACTAAATACAACAATACTTGCCTTTTCACAAAAAAAGATAACATCTGACTGACTAGTGCATGCCCGACCCTGTTTTAAGTTCACTATATATATTAACTCCTTTAGTCCTCACAACAAGTCCATGAAGTATAAAGAATGAAGTGGTGGGACCAGGTGATGAATCTAGAGAGGGTGGTTGCTAGATTTGCTATCTTGACAGCAGGACGTGGTTGTATTTTAGGAAGATATTTTATTGCATTCTATTGTTTTTAGCTATTGGAGTTTACCACCCAGTAGCATTTATAATGTACCTTTTGATTTTAGGTATGTCATTATCAGTATAACAAGGTGTCATATTTTGTTTGGGAACTCTCTGAAGAGGTTTAGGGGAATTCCTGAGAGTATATTTGTTTGTAGAAGTTTAACATTTAGGGAATGACAATTAGATCACATTACATCTGGATATCAAGGAAATAGTTTATATACTACCTCACAAGTTCTCACCAGAAAAATAAATTCTCAGTGGCTTGAATGTGCACTACTGTCAAATGGATTTAAAACAGAGTGAAGGGACCCTAAGCAAAGGGTAATGATAGCAATAATAATGATAAATGGCAATGCATTGAGTTAGGACTAGCGTGCACAGTTGGCTGCTTTTATTTAAGATGTCTTGGTAATGTTAAAGCTGCAAAAAGCATTAATAAATGAGTATGTAGTGTTGTAATCTGAAATCTTTTTGCAGATATCTTGGTCTTTGGTACATGTAATTATATGTTGCTATTGTTATTAAATTAAATATTTAAAAAATCACATTAATTAGCCTGCAGGATATCTTAAGTATCATGAGTATCTCAAGAATCCTCATTGGTTGTTTGTTTATTGTTATGTAAACCAGGACCACTAAACTATCAAAGGAGGTTTTCAGGAGAAGAAAAAAGAGAAATCTGAATGGACTTTAGTTCCAGTTAATGCTTTTAATTTTTTGCAACATTATTAGCATAAGAATTTCCCAGATACTGTCATAAGTATTACAATCTATGCTAACCAGCTTGTGCATAGCTTAAGATAGTAATAAAAGACACATGAAAGTCCATTTAAAAACAAAACATATTTATTTTTTAAACAGAAGATTGACTGTAAACTAATACTAGTGTATATATGCAAATTGTCTTTGCTATGACTTCATAATTTGTAATGGTATTCAGCTTGACAATGTTTACACTTGTTAATGACTTCCTTTATGAGTGATAATTGATCCACTTCATTATCATATTAAATCCTTGATCATATGCCATTAGGTTTGATGTAATAAATGATCTGTGTGATTTTTAGTGTAATGAACTAATTAGACTAATTAAAATCAATATGTGTGCCAATATTATACTTTGAATCCAAATGCTCCTTCATACTGTGCTGGCTTAAAATCAGCAACTCAGTAAAAAGGATCTAATGCTGATTTATGAGCACTTGAGGAACATGAGGCAGAATAAATTGCTTGTGGTAGTAGAGACAGCATTAGTGAAGTATAAGATACTAAGTGCATTGTAAGGTCAGCAATAAGAGTGTACTTACACATGTAGTTATATGGCACCTTAAACCTCTTCTTAATATATCAGAACATCCTAGCAAAATTATTTGGCTTAAATACCAGATCTATTATTCTGCACTTCTTCATAAATAACATTACAAAAATTTAAGCATCCTAATTAAGTAGTCTACAACTCTAATGAAAATATGCATATTAATTTTGATATATGGCTTTTAATGATTGATTTATTTTCTGTAAGAATAAATAAAACATTCTAAAGCAGAGGTTAAATAAAAATCAATGTGTAATTCTACAACTTTAAATCATCCATTATTCATTCAGAAACCTGTAGAAATTATAAATGATAATTTTAGAGAACTGATAGATAAGTTCTTCAAAACTAAATTCTTATGTCACTGCTTTGAAGAAGCCTTGCCTGATTTCCAAGACAATAACAGCTCTGTCACTTAAATGCTTACCAAAATGTTTCTCTTTTCTGTTATTTATCAAAATTTAAATTTTATGATGAATAGGTTAATGGTGATTGAATTTCTGGATTGTAAACTAAACAAGGGCAGAGACCACCTGCCCTATAGGTCTAACACAGTGCCTCACACACAGAAAGCAAAATAAGTTTTTAAAACTTTTAAATATATATAACTTTATTTGCCACTTCTAAAGTTTAAGTAAATTTTAGACTATTTTAATGGAAGCTAAATATCATACCTTATAAGTCAAGTAGTGGCAAAAAAATTTAAAATAAGATAGCCATATTTTCTCTACAGAGCCTGGCACCTGTCTTCTGTGTTTATTTCCCTTCACAGCCAGTGGAAATTGTAGTCACAAAAGGGAGCTAAACTGGAATGTGGAACTTTGGACCTGTTCATTCTATGCCAGATCAAAGGTTACTCAGTTTTTCTCTCTTACTTGATATAAGGGTTTATAGCTATGTCAGCAAGTGGAAACAATATGTAATATCTTTGGATAATTTTTTAAAAGACTTTCCTGGCAGGTTTGTCTTACCTATGTCTTCTAATGATCTAAATACATTTAGGCATTTATTGTGAGAGCTTGATTTATCTTTGGGAGTAATCATTAGTGATTTGACTGTGAGGCAACATAAAAGGGACTCTCAAGGCATTTTTTTCTAGTCCAGTCAGAACCTTTTCTCTCCTATTTCTTTTTCATCACATGCCCCACAGTTTCAGCTCATCATTCATCCAAAAATATACACGTATTAATTGAGAATTTACGCAAGGCACTATACTAGGTTCTCTGATAGAGCATAGGTCTCCTGGTCCAAAGCCATTTCTCATCTAGAAAGAAAGATAAGACATGTACATAAATAGTTCTAATCTAAAGTGATAAGGTATAAATCCTGGAGAGAGCCTCAAATAAATTGCAATAGAAATTTAAAGATCAGCCAATGACTTTTAGCAGCATGATTTGGGAAAGCTTTGTAATGAAGCTGGCATTCAAACTGAACCTGGATGGCTCGAAAGAATTTTGTCTGGATGGGGTGGGAAGTGACCACTCTAGATAGAATAAAAGACATAATCACTCTTCCTATTCTTAAATAGGGTGAACTATTATAATCCAAACTAGCTAGATGGGTGGGGACAGCAGTCTAAATTAGCACAAACATGAATCATAGATTATCCCCTTTAATTGTTTTCAAATACTTGGAATAATTGTCCATTTTAAAAACAAAGTGATATCTAACTGAGATTCTAAGTAATTTTTTAAAGTGAAGTGTAAGTAATATGACAGGTTGTTAAGAACTTCTAACATATAATGAGAATCTTATGGAACACTGATTTTAAGCCATAGATTCTAATAATATTTTATTACACAAGAAAAGTGCAGTTGACTAGATTTTCTTGGCAGTGGAGAGCAGGGATAAATGGTATCGATAGATACATTAAAAGGACTGTGAGGAATACTCTCAAATCTTTGGCAAACCCCACTGTGTAGCATAGATAAGCGCAGACCTCCTCTCATTGCATTTAATGTCAATACACTCTTTTGTCCTTCCCCCCATTTCCTGAAACAGAACCTAAAGGGCCCTTATTCCTCTTCTCAGCACAAGGTGAAAAAACTTGTCCTGCTAGTACCATTTAATGTTATGATACATGGCATCATCTCAGAGCACTGGCTACTCCAGAGTGAGCACTTAAAAAATGTCTATTATTACTGTGTTTATTCTCCTCATATGGAGACTCAGGAGACTTGAGGCCTCAGTTCTGACTTTGTTGGGCTTTGTGATTTTAAGCAAATAGCTCAAACTTTCATGGTCTCAGTATCCTGTTTAAAATAGGGGGTTTGAGTAAGTAATAAAGTTTTTTTTTCAGTGATGTCATATTATTCCACTAGTAATAATAGTATTTTAACTCTCCCAGAGATGTTTGAAGTTTTAAAAGCATCATTTTTTTTAAAAAGGAATGCTCCTCTAATGGAATTAAGGCAGTGTGACAAAATGAAATAAAAGTATACAGGTATTGTGGGACAATAGTAGTTTTTTTTATAGGAGTCCCCATATAGGCAGACTAGCTCTGTTTAGAATCTTTCTTCTTAGAATGAGACATAATGTTTCTACTAAGTAACCCTCCCAAATTCCCTAAATTGCCTCTCTTCCTGTCCCTCTCTGTTAATCAATCTCTCTCTCTCTCTCTCTCTCTCTCTCTTTCTCTCTCCCCCCCTCCTGTTCCATCTCTTGAACGTTGAGGTCCTAGGATGGAGAGGAAAGAGAGAGGTATAAGCAAGACATTACGCTTAATCTGACAATACTTATCTCATTTTCCTAAAAATGCATGTCTTTCAATCTAAATGCATTTGTTCTGATAGCAAATCTATCATGTATTTGCACTACTAAGTCTGCAAGGGACAGAAGCTACATTATTTATGCTTAAATATTTAATGCCTGCACTGTGAATCATTTCACAAGTGTTCACTAAAAATTCCTGGTTCATTTCTCCAGATAATCTAGAGGTCTTTGACTTGTATTATGGTTGCTGAAAAAAATAGATGACAGGGTGTTTTGCTTCTTTGAGGCTAGTCTCTACCATTTGATTCCAATAAATGAAAATAGGCATAATTGATAAAAAAGCAATAATGTTGTTATACTATGCTGACTTTCATGTCCATTCCACAGGCAGATGGTGTTAAATCAGGAAGAATACTGGCCTTGAGTTGCAATTTTGGGTTGGCCTCAGCTCTTCTACTTATTAACTTTGTGATCCAGAGCAACTCATTGAAAAGTGAAGGTAATAATATCTTCCTTGTTGAAGCATTATAAGGAATGTATGAAATACTACATGTGAACGCAATTGAGGAACTCATAAAAGTTCATAAATTCATAAAGGTTTATCATTAATTTTTATAATAAATACAACTAATACATTTCACCTGCATGTTTAAATGTATCATATAAACTACAAATTTTATATGTGTAGGACACAGAAAATGCAAACTGAAGATTGTAATCTGTGTACCAATGAACATAGAGAGTAAGAATAAGCTCTTGTTTGTAAAAGAGAGTTGAATGATGAAAAAGCAATTAAGACAGGAGTTTCAGAAAAAATATATTTAATCTTATTTCTGATTGATATTGAACAGTATGACTTGAGTTTGCTGTATGTTTGGAAATTAAAAAATGTTCAATACACAGTAATATCTAATGACATTTATGCCCCAAATAACTTTTGTGAATTATTATAAATCAAGAGCATGAGACAGAAAATTATCACATTGTAATTATACATTTTTTTATAAAATCAAATATATATGTACATGGATAGAATATAATTAACTTTATTTAAAATTCTAACAGACATAGTAAAATTATACAATTATATATATATAGACACACATATACTTTAATTTCGAATGGACAGGAGTTATTTTTACTTTTGTCCAAAAAAAAAATTCAAATGGATATTTTCCATACCCATAATTCCCATTTAGCATTATTTTATTTTTTAGTATTAAAACTTCTGTGGCAGTTGAGAGACACCTTTAATATTATATCCCATGCATCTTTAATTTGTCATTTTAAGCCCAAAATGTGGTTGAAATTAAAATATTTTCCAGTTGAACACATACTCTGAATTTAGTAGCATCCTAATTTAAATATTATTTTCAAAGAGACATTTTACAAAAAGGCTCCTTCAAGCCACAAACATTTTGTTTAATGTATTATTGGTGCATTTTAGGGGCAGATTTATTTCTGATGAGCTTTTGTATTTATTTTAGTTCATAAATATCTTTCTTGTCCTCTTTTTGTATGCTGTGATATTTTGTGGATCTTCAAAACAAATTGATTTTCAAATATATGAAGTCATATAACTCCCAAGAGCCTTTCTTGATGGCCTTGTGTAGGACCTGACCCATTCCCTTGAGTCCATATTATACTTCATCTTATCTCATCTCTAACAAATATAAACAATATTTACACCTTTTAACTTGTCTGTGTCTTCATAATAGATTCTAAGTTTCTTGAGGGCAGGGCTGTCTCTTATTTACCTCATTACTGGTATCTAGAATTGTGCCTGGCATTTATTTGGTAGTTAGTTGCTCAAATACCATTTTTGAAATAAAATAATGAAATATGAAATGATATTTAAAAGAGTTTATTTATATTGCTTCTAGAAAAACATTACCAGCTGAGAAAAGAATTCTAACTTTCCAAACTTAAACCTATCTCTAACAAACACCAAATTCTTTATGTGTGTTGTTAACAAAATCTTTTCATATGTTGATTCTATATCTAAAATATATTCATTGGGCATGGTGGCTCAGCCTGTAATCCTAACACTCTGGGAGGCCAAGGCAGGCAGATTGTTTGAGCTCAGGAGTTCGAGACCAGCCTGAGCAAGAGTAAGACCCAGTCTCTACTAAAAAAATAGAAAAATTAGCCGGCCGCAGTGGCGTGTGCCTGTAGTCCCAGCTACTTGGGAGGTTGAGGCAGCAGGATTGCTTGAGCCCAGGAGTTTGAGGTTGCTGTGAGCTAGGTCGATGCCATTGCACTCCAGCTGGGGCAACAGAGTGAGACTCTGTCTCAAAAAAAAAAAAAAATATTAATGCCACTTGATTCTTCATATGTAAAAAACACTAAATATGTATAACATATATTTCCCAGGGCTATTATAATAATTCAAGAAGAATCTCTGGAGAAAGTACTTTATAAACTGTAAAAGCTATAGAAATGTAGTAATTAGTGGATTAAATTAGTAGAAGTAGTAGCAGGGATAGTTGTTACTGTCATTATTAACGGTATTGTTTTGTTCCTAGTGAGATGTTCAATGCTCAAATGATCCAGCCTTGTTATCACCCCATGGACCATTTTATTTATTCTCAAGTTCGTCTCTGGAATGCTTACTCATCTCCTCGCTTATATTCATCTCTGTAGCTTAACCAAATTTGCATCACATCCCTTTATGGAATCCTGCAGCATTGACTTTATAGGTATTGGTCATTTGTTACTAATGTTTTTGACTCATAGAATCCACTTGCCCTTCTGATAGTAACAACCTAAATTTTATTTTAGTCTTGTTGGAGTCATTAATTAAGCTGTACTGCATATACCACGCTTGGGCATGTGAACCAAAGCAGTCCAATTGAACTTTAAATTCTTAGAAGAAATGATTTGAGCTGATTTATCTTAGTAACTTAGTGTCTCCATTGTTTCTGCTATTTCCTTCACTAAGCTATCCCTGTCCTTTCCAAGTCAGTCTTTCAGCTTAAAAAAAAAAAGATTACTGTGAACCATTTCATACCTTTCTGATAAATCTCCTCTTAGTAGTATAAGTTAATTTTGGTTATGCATGACAGAAAAACTCTAACTAATAAGTGATCCATATATCTGTATTATCTTTCTTTTTGACTAATTAGAATGCGTGGTTACTATGTATGTATTTTAAACTCTTTTTGAATACTTTTACATTGCAGGGTTTTTTTTGTATGTCCATATACTTATGTGATAATGGAATGAATAATTTATCAATAAATGATGTCTGATTGAAGTAGAAGTAGCAGAAGCATAAACTTTACATTTTCTGGCCTATTTCCTGTGGCACCAAAGTTATAATATCCACCTGCATTCATCCTGTTAAGAAGAATAACTCAAAATTAGATAATCGAACAGAGATTACTTGCACATTTCTATACTTTCCATGTTTAATAACAATCAGATAACACAAAATTGTTTTTTAAAGTTAAAAATAAGCAAAAGAGGTTTATGGCCAAGTCCTCTTGTGTTTAAAAATAGTTTGCATTTCTAACTAATTAGATCACTAATTTTTTGTATGGCCATAAGATTAGTATAACATTCAGGTCAGAATTCTGAAGCTGATTTCTAACCAAAAAAATATTCAGTTGTGATTTTATTGTCTAATCAGACTTTAGTTTTTGATATTTTTCATGGATAATGCTCTGTTATCTCTTTTTGGTGACCATATATGTGTGTGTGTATAAAGGTAGAGGAAAACATAAGTTATCATGTCATAAATTATGTTCATAAATTATGAACAACAAAAGACACCACAAAAAATAACGACACCACACCCTAGGTATGATTTCTGAAAATAAAGTGAATTTTTTCCCTGAAGATTAGATAGGCAATATTTTGTGGCTTTTAAATGGCCTGATTTGGGAATATTGAAAGATTTTTACTTCTCTTTGAAAATATACATGAAAATAAGCCACTCAACTTATGCAGAACTTAGTGAAAAAGTTCAGTGATTTTATTTGTCACTAATGTCGTTTTTATATTGTATTGAGTTATAGCCATATTGTGTTTGTTTGTGTTATGATTATTAGTATCATTATTTTAAATTTGTGTCTCTCTGCTTACAGACTTACCCTTGATTGGTACAGTATGACAACAGGTAATAGATACAATAGCACTAAAACAGTCATCATCACTGCTGGGATGAGAAACCCCTCCTCTCTGCTTTTTTTAACCTTCCTCAGCTGGAAAGTTTTGACATCTGCTGGTTTGGGACATGGCTGAGCAGCTGTCAGCAGTAGGGTAGCTGCTTTCAGCAGCAGTTGGCGGGATGGCAGGGTGCCAGCTTGTACCATCTGTGCGCCTGACATTTCATTCTAATTAACAGTAGGGTTAATTGTTCTGGCAGGCTCAAATGTAGTGTCTAACATTACCCAAGGGAAATATGTACAAGTGCAGGAGTGGCAGGGAGCTAGGGACAAGCATCGCTAACAAACCCATCGAGGGAGAGTGGTTAACAACTAGCGATGATTTTACTAGCTGGCCACTTGCAATAAGGCCGAGATATTTTTTATTCTGATGAATTATGCCAAGCCTGTAATGATGTAGAAGGAATCAAGCTTAGAAAGGCTGAGACTGCTGCCTTAGGGCAATTGTGAGGGAACAATTTGCATGTTATTACTGCATATTCATACCTAATTGTGTTAGGCTTTGCTAATAGAGCAGAATGACAGTATGAAAAATCGAGCAACTGCTTTAGAGGCAACAAAGCCAATGTTTTTTTCTTCCTACACTATGAGTGCTGAATGATCATTTAGACATTTAGTTGCTCAATGTGACAAGTCTACCATTTGTTAGCTTGACATATTATAATTTATAAAGCAGTATTCTAATTTTACTTTTAGTTTATTCTTCTCATTTTATACAATATTCATGATAGCAATTTGAATGGGGATATTCATAGCTATTGTGAGTGGTTCTGATTCAAATAAAACTATATTTTGTATGAAGTATTACCATTGTTTTATGATGTATTAATTTTAATGTTTAAATAGCTTTTTCATATGTTAATATAACATAAACCAAGAGTTGATGAGAAATCCTTATTATAGTGGTACTCATTCACATTGCTATAGTTAATGTCTCATCATTTCCATTATATAAAGACTTATTTTTAGTGTGGCTTGGACAAAGAAATTGTCAGGTAGTACAGAGCCAAAAGTCTACTGTTTTAGAAAAGTAACTATATACAGATTCACTGAACTTAGTATCTGATTCTATCTCCTAAGTAGATAATATTCTTAAGAAATTTTAAGCACAGTAGTACATTTTTTTATGTTATTCCACAATGCCTTTTGAAATCTTTTTATGGAAGCTCAGAGAAGACAAAAATTAGAAAATGTTGCTTTAAAAGTCTACATTTTAAAACTGGCAATACGTATCTTCCTTCTCATTTTATTTAATTTCCATCTTTAAGGCCATCATTGTATCTTCAAGTTGCCCCAGTTTGGTATTCGAGCATCCATTCATTTAAAATTA